GATAAGACTAATGACAGTGCCTCTTTTTTGGCAGATAGGATGGTTGGAGAAGAAATTCAAATATTTGCCTGAGAATGTTGGTTTGTGGTACCAGTCGTGAATCAGTCTATTGTTATTTTTTATAATTGTGATGTCCAGAAAATTAAGTCTGTCTGAATAAAGGCCTAATCTAAGGCCGAAAACGTTCTATATGTTACCTGCTTGAATAAAGTAATGCATCTATCATACACACGTTATCACCAGTGTTTTTGCTTCAAATGGCCATTATATATTTCCTGTTTTATAAGTAATATATATATTTTATTAATATATGAATAATGTCTTTTTACAAGATTATGAGGCTGCGTTACGATATTCATTAGTAATACTAAAACTCTATACTTCACGTTACATGTATTATAGATTTCCAGTAGTGGCAGTGAATATCGGAACGCAGCTTAACATCGAACAGCGGTCTAGTTTCCACCGAAACCCTCAATTCGGTTTCACTCCGGTACGGATTAAATTTAGTGTTCCGTTTCCATTGGAAGTAGAGTACTTATAGATCAAAGCGGAAGCGAAATCAGCGCAATTTGACAGGTTTCCATCGACTTAAATTTGATTTTACGTCGCATTAAGTGTGAATTAATGCTTCGGTGGAAACTAGAACAGTGTTGCCAGATCGAGGGAAATTTTCCATATTGTGGGCATATTCGACCACTTAAAAACAAAAGGGAAAAATGGGAAGTTTTTTCCAAAAAACACCTAAAAATGGGAAATTTTACATCGTCAAGGCCTTGACGTTGAAAAAAGAAATTGTACCAGCCATAAAAGTGGTACCGTGGCAGATAGTCATAAACAAGCTTTAAGGTTCACTAAAAGTTAGTCAAGGCTTCGCACATAAATCGCCGTAGCCGTAACGTAAGAATTTACCAATTATAGTAAAAATTTCCACATCTGAAAGTGGTACGGATATGGGGTACATTCTGATTGGTTAATTTTTACGGTATGTTTTACGGTACGGTGATTTATATGCCTTTAAGGGTCGTCTACAATGGAGAGTTGTAGGCCGTAACAGTAAGAAATTGACAAATCACAATTGATTATTCTTCTGTACTTTGTCTGTGATTGGTCAATTTCTTACAACTTACGACTGTATTGTAGAACAGGCCTTAAGACCGTAAGACGTAGCCGTAAAAAAGAGAAGAGAAGAGACACAAATTTCAACTGCGTTCTGATATTCACTACCAGTACTGAAAATCTATAGCATATGTAACGTGAAGTGTGTAGATATTTAGTAAAGGCAGTGAATATCGGAACGCAATCTTTGTTATGTAAAAATGTGCCAAAAAACAAAAGATTGTGACAGCCACGAACGGACGCGTTTCGCAAATTTTCTGTGTTTTCCTGCGAACAAAAAAGTGATGAAACTCAATTATTTACTGTGTTCAAAATTCAAAATATATTGTGTTCAAAGTTTTGTAAACTGTATAAATGTATAATACACTTGTAAGTGCGTGCGTGTTTTTTTCTCTTTGTTTCTGGAATTTCTCCTGGTTTTCTGATGTGAATTTTTCTAGAAAAGATTATCATCTGCAACATTTTCTTATTTAGTTGAGGGGAAACCAAGTGGTGACAACCATGTAAGTATCCTAATTGCCTTAATAACGATATGAAAGTCAGTCACAACTTAATTTCTTATATTTGGTGTATTGTGCAAGCAGAACAAGTTGCTTTGTAGCAATCGAACGATCGATTTTGTTCTTACTTTTAGAACCAACAATATAGTACATGTGACATTAACAATGATTTGTATACGAAAATTTTTCAAGAATTAAGGCCCTGGATGCAATTATATAAAGAAATATAATAAATATAATAAATATATTTAACTCTTTAACCCTTGTTTTATTTAAATCGGAGAACATACACTTGTGTGCTTAAATTAATTTTTCAGCTGCGACGAGTATACTCGGCTAAAACAGAGTAAGTGCATTTGTTGTAAAATCGAAATAAATTATAATAAAACTAACAAATTTTTTAAAATGTCTTTTTATATTATATGTTTATTACACATACTTATTATAAAATTGTATTATTTTATCGTATTCTTTCATAAAACATGATATATAATTACAATTGATACTAATTTGATTAATGCGTTAAAAAAAGTACAAAATAAAATATTTTATGTTGTCTTTTGTTTGTTCTAAAGAATTCTAAACCGTGTTACCACTACGAATATGTTTTTTGTTTTACTTAAATGTTACTTTAACTGCAAATGTAAATTGTTTTTACTATATGACAAAGATACTCGTTCTCAAACAAAAAAAAGCCATCGTTTCATGACGAGTATGCGCGACATCGAAAGGATTAATTTAATATATTGCGTTTTTATATATCTAAATAATAAAATATAATGCCAAATATGTCCGGTTTTTTAATATATATGTATAATTATAATGACATCGGTAGTTACAATACAATTGTAAAGGTATACATATACATATATACAGGGTGTCCCAGAATTGCCGTACAATCTCTCGTAGGCAAGTAGAAGAAGTAAAACTGAGTCGAAAAGTCCTGAACCATTTTTTTCTATTACTTATACTAAAAGAGTAATTATTGAGTAAATCAGGCCAATCAGCGCCGACCTTTAGCCAGGCGCACGTCAGTGAGCCGCGCGCCTGGTGTGTGTGTTGCGTTTAGCAACGAGTACAGTCCAAGACAAAAGAACAACAAAAAGTAAAGAATGACTGCGTATTAGCAATTGCTGAGCGCTGATTTCTGCTGAACGCAGTCATTCTTTAAGCCCCTTGCACACTGGAAGAAATAGCGATAGCGATAGAAATAACACAGTTTTTAACACAGAATTCCAACTCGTCGGAAATTTTATCGCTATTGCTTATTCCGATTTTCTGATCTGCATTGATACATGTGTATTTTTATATGTTAGATTCCGCTGTTCCTACCGTTATTTATAGATATAAACTCTTTAAAACTGGTGTTATTTCTTTCGCTATCGCTATTCCTTCCATTGTGCAAAAGGCTTAAAACTTTTGTTATTTCTATGGCTATCGCTATTCCGTCCATTGTGCAAGAGGCTTTACTTTTCGTTGTTCTTTTGTCTTGGACCGTACTCGTATAAATTTCAACCAATCAGCGACGACGAGACAAAGATAGAGATCCTAGTTGTAATGCTCTCTATCGCGAACAGCTCGCACAATGGCAAGGCGCGTTCCATATTATAGTTCAGTGGTCTCTATGCACCAAACCCATATATGTAATACTTCTATATTGCTAGTACACAGCGCGTCATTGAATCGCGGAATAGGCGCGGGATCGGAGGGCAAGCGAGGCGGTTGCTCGCCAACAAACGCCGTACGAATCGTACAGCCCGCTTGCCCTCAGATCCCCGCACCTACTCCGCGATTCAGTGGTCTAGTTTCCACCGAAACCCTCAATTCAATTTCACTCCGGTACAGATCAAATTTAGTGTTCCGTTTCCATTAGAAGTAGAGTACTTATAGATCGAAGCGGAAGTGAAATCAGCGCAATTTGACAGGTTTCCATCGACTTGAATTTGATTCTACGTCGCATTAGATGTAAATTAATGCTTTGGTGGAAACTAGACCAGTGACTCGCTGTGTACGGTGCCGACCTGAAGCCCAAATGTTACGATGCAGACAATATAGTAGCAGAGAGAAACCTGAGAGCGGCCATCCTATTGTAATTTTTTACGACGGTTTCAGCCGCTGGTTTTAGCCGTATTTCCACAAAAGTGGAACTCAAAGGCCGTTCTACATTAAACGCAAGTCGCTGATCTCGTGGAACTGATCAATCACGTTGGTCGATTGGCTGATTTGACTCTGCAATTGGTCAATTCCACGAGATCTGCTACTTGCGTTTAATGTAGAACGGCCTTTGAGTTCCACTTTTGTGGAAATACGGCTAAAACCAGCGGCTGAAACCGNCACGAGATCTGCTACTTGCGTTTAATGTAGAACGGCCTTTGAGTTCCACTTTTGTGGAAATACGGCTAAAACCAGCGGCTGAAACCGTCGTAAAAAATTACATTAGGATGGCCGCTCTCAGGTTTCTCTCTGCTTCTGTTTATAAACAGAAGCATTGAAATCTTATAGTTGAACTGTACCAATTCCGGCATAAATTAATAGTTATTACCCGCATAAACAAGGCCAAAACAAGGCCTTATTTGCCCGCATAAACCAGGCCTAATAGCGCGCTCCCCGAACGCAGCTAAGTTAAGAAAGTGAATGGCTTATGGACTAATCTTTACGGTTCAAAAGCCACAAGTGCACCAAACCAAACCAACAAGTCAAGAACAAAGACTAATTACAAATCGGTTCTTTGAGCTATATTTGCATCAAACCAAACTAAGAACTAATACAAAAGTTTTTTTGCAAAGATATCTAAGTGTGACTTTATGTTTGTCGAGATGGTACCGTCGCAAATATTAAGCAATATTACCAAAGTAAACGTTTCTTTACTACGAAAAAACAATGTATTTCTCAAAAGGTAGTGAAAAAGTGTTCAAAGTGTTTTTTAATGTTATTATTTTATATTGTTTTGTATGCATTTTTGAAATCGCTTCTTAAAATAAGATTAGAAATAATTATGACATTGAGAGAAAAAGAAACAAATCTCTTATATAGAGTGTTGCTTTACAAAAACAAAATTTTAAGACTAAGAAAACAATTTGATAAAAATATATTGTTCTCTCTTTTTATATAGGTATATTTTACCACAGATAAGATGTAACATAAGAAATAAACAGAGCATGACATCTGAAGATGACAGTAATGATCAGCCTATTAAATATTCTACTTCAAAAGCTGCTTCTATGAGAATCAATGAATATCGTGATCCACATGGAGATTCAATTCCATGGTATCAACCATACATAGTGTCGTTAAGTTTAACTGTCTTTTTAATTTATTTCTGTATCTTAAGAGAAGAAAACGACATTGATACAATGCTTGATATGGATCTGGAAACTACACTAAAACAAGCTGAAAGAATAACGCAAAATAAAGCAGCCAACAATGTATAATAATAGAAAACTAGTTTATTTCAAGTGTTATGTATTTTAGAACAATAAATATTCACAGTTTCCCTATAAACTGCAATAAATTTTGTCATATCACAAAACTGAGAATGCAAACTATAACACAGAATATCATGTCACATAGACAATATATCATCAAATACAATATACATTCAATATATCACAAAAAAGTAATTTTGTCTTAAAATATAAATAAAAGTTTTTGTTTATAAGGGATACAATAAATGACCCCATATAACATTATGTAATATTGTGTCCCATTCAATAGGTGGATGACAAGTAATTGTGTCTGGAATACATTTCTTCCATGTGTGTCTCCAAAGTGTGACAACCATAGTCATTGTTAATATTGTTACTCCTTCTGAGGACTGAGAATGCAGTCTAATATCGACAGTGCCTATAAACAAAAATGTGTTATCATAATAATGTTGATTTATGTAAGAGTGAAATTACATGTTTCTTTTCAATAAAAAAGATGTTAATATTGTCGCTTACTGCATGTGGTTTGAGATCGCAGAAACCATTTCCAAAAAGTGTAAACTGGCATAATTTGCAAATAAAATTTCAGTCTGGTTAAAAAACCACTAAATCCAATCGATGCTAGTCTGAGCTGCAATCATATTATAATATCGCTGTTATCGTAAATATAAGTCTAAAAGAGATAAAATCAAAGCTCTGATTATGATGTAATAATCTTACTGCAGTAAATACTGCATAATACACCCATGTCGTGGGCATTAAGAATAGAAGAATAGTGAATGACAATGTCCCAACAAACAGCTGATCCGTGTGATACTGACATGAATCTACTTTGTTGCGCAAAGGATTTTTCTTTTTCCCAAGGAAAAGTCTAAAGAGAGCTGTGATGCCTTTTAATTGAAGATTGAAGAGCCTGTAAGAAATTGCTTTTTGAATTAAAAACAAAAAAAGAATAAAATTCAACAATCATTAAGTTGTTGATATATCATACCTTGCTGCGTAAACGTAAATGCAGTACGCATGAAAGCTGACGAGAGCCAGGAGATCCGCCATAATAGATATTTGAAATGTAACACCAAGTGCTCCAAACAGAAGCAATATGTCAAATGCAAAATCTAGAAGCGGCTTCGAAGATATCAGGAAAGTCTGCCAAAGTTGTATATGATACAGGAAGAATTTGCCCATAGCATTATTCAGAACGTGATTCAATTTTAGACCAGCTGGTGCTCCCATCAACCAATTAATCAGATCTCTCAGAGTTTCCACAACTTTCTAAGAAGTAAAACTTGTAATTATCTAAATAGATTGAAAAATAGATTTTATATTTCAAAGTATATTTAAAAAGATAATAATTATTTATAAGTTTGTACTTAAAAATTGCAGTCACACAATTTTCGTAAGTTTACCTCTGCATTATTTAAAAGCAGTTGTGAAGGCTGATCATCCACATAATATTGCAACAATCGCAACACATATATTCCTAAAGCCATATCTATGACAATCGCCAGCCCATAATTAGCTGTTTTTAGCTTAAACCCTCGATCATGTATTATCGTAAGCAGCATCCACTTGATGTTCTCCAGCCAACTGTACATATGCAATCCAAGGTAAGAATATTTCAAAATCGGCAGCAATTTTTCTATTACTTTGAACAATAATAGAACAGGGTACAGATAAAGAAGCATAAGGCTTCTCAATATAGTCCCCCAGATTTGTTGAAAAGAAGATTTAGTTCTCAGCTCATCTTTTTTGCTCTGAATGAGCTTTGTAAGTTCATAAAAGTGATCACCAGACTTGGCTTTGCTCTCAAACAATTCTGTATCCAGTAACGCATGCTGATAGTACAAAATAATTGTTGTACGCATATTCGCTAAATTGACTTTCTTATTGTTAAGAACAACGTTCTTCAAATAATAATCAGTCTTGGAAGATTTTGCAGTAATGTGTATGTAATCTGGAAGCTTGAGATTCGCGAATTCCGCGATCTTCTTGTTGGTCACTTCAGAATAATATCCGATAATACCCAACGGTGATTTTGTTAATTCCAAGGGTCCCGTTTTCTCTTTACGCACGGTGACGATATAGAATTTTTTCATATCACTCCGTGTATCATACACCACTTTGCCGAGAACAAAACCGGGCTCCTCCATGCACAATTCATGAGGAATAAAAATCATCAAATTACTTGTCATTTTGAGACTAAAACTTATGCAACATTTTCTTGTCGTGTTCTTCAGCTTCTTGCACGGCTAAGGATAAGGATTAGGCACGAAGTAAGAGTAAGGAGATCGAACAAGATCGAACATCGAACTTTATAGCGCGCGAATGGAAAAAGTGGTCCCGAGTTGTACGGTTCATTGGCAGAGAATCCGCTCAAGAGAACAGCTTGCTACGGTTGAACGCCATTTGCAAAACTATGCATGTACACAACGCGTCACTGGTCTAGTTTCCACCGAAACCCTCAATTCGGTTTCACTCCGGTACGGATTAAATTTAGTGTTCCGTTTCCATTGGAAGTAGAGTACTTATAGATCGAAGCGGAAGCAAAATCAGCGCAATTTGACAGGTTTCCATCGACTTAAAATTTGATTCTACGTCGCATTAGGTGTGAATTAATGCTTCGGTGGAAACTAGACCACTGAATCGCGGAATAGGCGCGGGAATCGGGGGGCAAGCAGGGCGGTTGCTCGTAGCGCCAACGAGCGCCGTGCGAACTAACTAGTAGCNATCGGTTGTCCACAACTACGTCGTGTCGATAATGTAACTGCTCTCCCTTCCTATTTTCTTCTCAAAACGTAAAACTATTGGCCAATTACTTAATATTTAACGTTGACAAATAACATGTGTATATATATATATATATGTGTTTAATAGATGGATCTATTAATGTCTCCGGTAATTGGAAGGAACGTATATTGTAAAAGTCTCGTTTAAAAAAATATATGTATATTGAATATTAATATTTATATGTAACTACTAAATAAGTATAATTCTATTATATTATTATTTTATTCTATTATATGTATATATTATTGTGTATACAATTAAATATATGTAAAAATCAAAACATTGAAAAATGAATAGGGCAAACCGTACATAAATAAAATAAAAAAAATATAACAAATAAATATATTAATAAATATAACAAATAGATATATTTCTTTTGTATGATTTTTGTGTCTGTAAGTGTTTCTCTGAATACGTTCAACAGTTGGCATATATCTATTTGTTATATTTATTAATATATTTATTTGTTATATTTTTTTTATTTTATTTATGTACGGTTTGCCCTAATTCATTTTTCAATGTTTTGATTTTTACATATATTTAATTGTATACACAATAATATATACATATAATAGAATAAAATAATAATATAATAGAATTATACTTATTTAGTAGTTACATATAAATATTAATATTCAATATACATATATTTTTTTAAACGAGACTTTTACAATATACGTTCCTTCCAATTACCGGAGACATTAATAGATCCATCTATTAAACACATATATATATATATACACATGTTATTTGTCAACGTTAAATATTAAGTAATTGGCCAATAGTTTTACGTTTTGAGAAGAAAATAGGAAGGGAGAGCAGTTACATTATCGACACGACGTAGTTGTGGACAACCGATTGCTACTAGTTAGTTCGCACGGCGCTCGTTGGCGCTACGAGCAACCGCCCTGCTTGCCCCCCGATCCCCACGACAATTCCGCGATTCAGGCCCGAATTCATAGTCGTCTCTCAGATCTCAGATCTCCAATCTCAAGAGAAAGAGAAAGAGAGAGAGAAAAAGAGAGGGAAAGAGATGAGATGAGATCTGAGATCTGAGAGACGACTATGAATTCGGGCCTCAGTGACGCGTTGTGTACCATATATGGGTGTGTTTAGCCGAAGTTAGCGCTACGTAGCGGCTTCATGTAGCAGTTGCAATTGCTGCGTTACTTCTGCTGGACAGTATTGCTACGCGCAGCGCTTTTTGTAAGCGCAAATATGTTTGTATACAAATCGCCGTTGTATTCTTCGGTTGCTAA